CTCAAAACTGAAACTTCTGTCGTCATTTACTCACTCTCATGTTGTTACAAACACGTAAGACTTTCGTTCATCTTTGGAACACAAATGAAGATATTTTAAATAAATAAGTACACTCAACCAAAATATTCCAGTTCAAAAAGTGCATAAAGACAGAAAATTTATCCTAAAGCTTTTATTCACATACAAACATTAATCATCCAAATACATAGAGTACATCAAATGTAGTAAACAGAATCTCAAACATGCTTGAGAACCAATTAGGTGTCTTAAACCACTCGAATCATATGGATTATTTTAACAATGTCTTTATGCACCTTTTGAAGCTAAAAGAATTTGGTTGCCTGGATAGACAAAAATTAAGAGAGAATATTAATTTTCATTTGTGTTCTGAAAATGTTTTATGGGTTTTTAACAACATAAGATTTTCATTTTGGCTGAACTAATGCTTTAAAAAGTCTTTACAAAAGAAAATGAAATGGTCTAATGATTATTTCTTTTATGTTAAGGTTCATTGCGAGGATCAGTTCTGTCAACAGCAAGTGCTCTGCAAAATTCCAGATCAGCAAAGGAAGTGGGAAGATGGTGCAAAGGAGAAACTCTGGCCTGAACCCTCATGTGTCCTCCTTCATTAAGGAGTTTGTGGATTTCAGCTGGCAGCTTTGAAAAAAATAGTCCATGCTTCTTGTGTGTAACAAAAGTTTGAGTTCTTTTTGAAGATTCACTATCGTCACTATTCACTATTATCATAGTATGTTGTGCTTAGGATAAATTTTAAGAATTTTACTTATAATAGTTAGAATAGTATGTAATATATATAATAGTTTGTAACAATGTTTTGTTTGAGTTTTAACTGAATCTGTGAAAATATTAAAATGTTATTGCAAGGATTACAATTTAACAATTTAAAAAATTAAAAGTTACACAGTTGTCATTGCTTATTTTCATAAAATAATTAAAAACAATTTTTTCTTGTATTTCAATACGTTACTGAAGAAAAGACCATAAAATTACTGTATATTTTACAGTAAAAACTAAAAGTACAGTATACATACTGTAAATACATTTACAGCAAGTTAAATGGTACTGTAATTATTAATACAGTACTTTTACTGTAAGTTTAATTTACAGTAAGTTACTGGCGAACTGCTGCCAGTAAGTTACTGTAATTTCTACAGGAAATTTTTAACAGTGTAATTTTTATTTTATGGATAAACGTTAGCTGATTATAGAAGATAGTTTATTTATTTACTGTTTAATTTACATTGTTTATTTGCCGAATTATCCTGGATGCATTTTGGGCAGTTTAATAACATCATGCCAACTGAATAGTTTAAATCAAACAAAAATGACTCATGTACATCAACAAACCTATGTAAGTTTTTTAAAGTTTCAGTGAAAAAAAGTTTCAGTATTGCACCCACCTAGCAGCAGTCAGTGTAATAGTAATTTCGACCCCAGACTGAGCTCCATGAAAGCAAACAGGCTGCTGATGTCTTGTCTTCCTTCACTAACATCTGCTTGTTAGTAATTTTCAGCCACCTCACCCATTTGCTCCGCGTAAAATGCAATTACTCCGAGAGGTAATGAGAATTACACGCTATCACGTTTCCAAATTAATCAGAGCAGCACCTCCCCCGCAGAGCCACTGACTGAACACAATCCACCTTAACTAAGGTCTCCTCTCACTCACTGACTTACTGACACATATTTAGAGATACTAATAGGCCTTAATTAATAAATCTACATAAGTAAGTGTCATAAGTCCAATGATAGAACTAAAAGTGCCAATATCAAGCCTACTTTAATAGGTCACTGCATACAGATCATTGCATAGCAGATCAATCAAATGTGATGTCAGTGTAAATTAACTGAATGTAATCTGTTGCATTATATAATGTAACAGTGTTTAGAAAAAGTATATAGCTTGGCTATGAATGAAACCTTTTAAATAGATAGCTAATATTTAACCAAAGTACAGCAGTCTCATGCATAGCATTTTCACAGATTGTGTTTAGTGTTTAATATTTATGTGTGGTGGTTTTAAACTCAGATCTTAAAGCCATTTTTAAATCCTCTGATTCTGCACAGATGTTGGGCCATTCAGACGCAAACACTGGGCCTTGTTAGCCCAAAGGATTAGAGCGAGAGGATTGAAGAGATGCATCAAAGGTGGTGGAAAAACACAAGTAATGTGGAAAACAGAAGATCCAAAATAAACAAATAAATGAAGTGCATCTGTAGCATTGTGGGACAATAGAAAATATCAAGAAAGAGAGATGGGGAGAAGTAAAGTTATCCACTCTGTCTCCCTCAATCCTAAAAAGTGTTCTTCTGTCTCTCAGTTTCATTGATCCATCATCGTTATAGTGAGTGTCAGTCATTTATCACATAATCATTCCAAAAAGTGCATTTTAGAGGAGGAGCAGACGGATGATTTGAGGAACTCATACAGTGGCCATATGAGACCACACCTCTCCTGGGACGAGTGTTTATCTCACCCTCCATCATCTGTTCATCCTTATGTAACACACCCCATGGAGTCGAGAACAACTCCATGTAAAAGACATTGTATTATTCTTGATTTGAGTTTGTTGAGATTCATTAATTTTCTGTGATGATTGCATGATTAATCAATCATGTAATCATCACATGAAGGAAAGTGAGTAAAAAACATTGAGTGAAACAAGACTGGCATGAATGTGGGTGATACATTCTACTGCATATATAAACTTTCTTTTCTTTTCAGTACATTCATCATTTACATCCCAATTTAGTATTCCTATACATTTATTTAAAATTATTTTTTTTTTTTTGTGGAACAAGATGGGGACAAGACATCTCTATAAACAAATTGGTAACCTGAATTTGTTATGTTAAGGAACTATTTATAACTTTTTTTGGTGTAATGTATTAAATTTAATATTTTTGGTGAGGGAAAGTCAATTAGTTTAGATGTTACCACATGTAGCAC